GGATGAAAAGGTAACTCAATTTATTTCAAGTTTTAAACAAAATTCATACTTATTTATTTATAGTGCAACGAAGTCCGCAAATATCAACGTGAATGTGAAAAGCTGAAAACTGAATATGGTCATTTAGAGTCCAAGTTGAAATATCACGTTAATAAGTTAAATTTGGAAACGGAAGCTAAACAGGTTTGCGTTTATATAAAAGGAGTAAAATCATATTTTTAATAGTTCATTATATTTTAGGCATTGGAAAAGAAATTGGAAGAAGAACGCAATGCACCAAATAAACTAGAGGAGAAAGCCAATGGTATGGTAAACTTATGTAAAACTAAAATAATTTATTTATAAATATCAATTATTGTAGAAAAACTACGCATGGAGTTTGAAGCAAATACCATTTTACTCAAACACGAGATTACACGCAAAACTGAGATTGTGGAAAATTTGACAAAAGAACACAAGAAGTCGAGTGAGACTATCAAACATTTACAGGAACAATTATGTCTTGAAATGGCAGCGGTAAGTGGCTTCGATATATGTTGTAAACAAATTTCAAAATATATTTAATTTTTTTTATGTCAGAAAACCAAACTCAGTGAGGAATTGGAAAAATTACAGGAAGACCATAATTCAGTACAAAATTCTTATAGTAATGAGATACTAAATTCAGCTAAACTGCGTGGACAACTGGATGAGTTGCAGTTACTCAAAACTCAGAACACCTTGTAAGTTTACTAATCTGATAGTTTATTAATCTGAAATATTTTGTATATTATGACTATTTTTACTTTTGTTTAGAAATGAGCAACAAATTCGTGAACTGAAAGCCATAATTGAGGACTCTAATGAGAAATTGCAGGACAATGCTCAGGACTTAAAAGAACTGCACGCCAAAGAACAAGAGTTATTAAGTATTAACAAAGAGATGATGGAATCGATTGTAACATTGCAAAATGAGATTTGTTTACTCAAATCGAAGGTAATAATTTAAACCATTTTTGATTTAAAGAATATTATTAACTTGTTGAGAAACACAGAGTCCAGTAGGATTTTCGGATTGTAGTAGATTTTTTTTTACTCTATCAATCAATTCCCTAAATGGTATTGATAAAGACCCTGAGGTTTATCTGTGGCATCATGATATCGATCAGTTTCACCTCCTTATTACTTATTAGGGAACAAGTGTCACATTTACCTATTTATATATTATAGTCTATAATTTATGTTGTTCTTAGATATTATTATGTGTTTAAAATATCTAATGGTCGCTTTAAGGAAACTATATTAGCTTATTAACTAAATAAATAAATAATTAAATATATTTTTATTGAATACTATGGATAATAAAAATTTATATATTTCACAGGTGCAAGGTATTGAGGCTGAGAACGAGATATTGAATAAAGAAAAATTGGGCTATGATACGAATAAACAAGAACTAGAAAATAAACTTAAAGATGAGATCGAACAGAAGAACGAAGAGCGACAAATTTTGGCTAAACACTTATCAGAGAAGACGAAATTATATGAAATTACCAAAATGAAATTAGAAAATATTATGGGAGATTTTGAAGCTACTAACAATAAACATTCCACTGTAGTCAAGGAGCTTCAACGTGAAATACAAAAGTATCAAAAATCAATACATCACGCAAGCAGCTCACCGAAAATGCTACAGAGTAACATACCAAGTACAACCAATGGCTATAACTCGGAACAGTCTGATGATTTGCCAGCGACACAACGCACTCACAGTCGTAATAGTAGTTACAGTGGCAATGGCAGTCGTCGGCCAAGTGAATCTTCAGAATCAGAGACAGTAGCAAGCAGTGCTACAGCAGTACAAAATGATTTACAAGTAACTTAAAATAGAAAAAATATGTCGTCAAAATAATTTTAAATAATTTAAATTTAATTTTAGGGACCAACAAAAAAACATCTTGTTGAACGCATATTACGCCTACAACAAGCTTCAGCGAGGCAAACAGAGAAAATAGATTTTCTTGAGAATCATACACTCTCCTTAGTATCGGAGTTACAGAAAAAATCAAAAGTGGTACAATATTATATGCTGCGAGACCAAGCTGGTGCGCTGACGTCCATAAAAAGTGACCAAAATAAATCTGATCTAGCTAAGTATGGCAACGGTGTTATGTCGGCCATTTATGGCGGTATTAAAGGTGATAACAAAAGTATGAGTCTAGAACTATCACTGGAAATAAATAAGAAGTTGCAAGCTGTGCTCGAAGACACTTTACTAAAAAATATAACACTTAAGGTAGATAAAAATTATAAAATAATTGTAATATTTGTAAAAATAATTTGTTATTTTTTATCATTTATTTTTGTAGGAAAATTTAGATGTATTAGGACTTGAAGTAGATAATTTAACACGTAAATTAAGACAAATGGAAGCAAAAGAGTGACGTATGCGAAAGCCAAATATGAGCTATTTGGCTTTTTGAGTGTGTAATTATTATAAATTAAAGTAATTTTATTTTATGTTGCAAATTTTAAATTATTATTTAATTATTTCAAAATTGTACATACAGTAACGATACATTCTATAACAATTATATTTATTTTTGAAATAAATTTATTGTGTAAATTATTGTAAATTGTTGTTTATAAAACACCTTCATATAAACTACTTTTTGGTTTACCAATACCCATCGATATTTGCACATTCGGTTTTTCACCTTCTTCTGCCACGCGTACAAATTTGTTATGTGTTTTTTTGAAGTGCAGCTTTAGCATTGGATTCTTTTCGCCAGTTTCTTGTGTGACAAATTCTCGCAGTAGTGGGGGCATGTCTATTTTATTTGGTAATATTTTTTCTTCAATCTTTTTAGAATTACTTAAATATTTTCCCTCTTCTTCCTTTGGCACAAGTTCGTAGTCACATTTGTAACTTGTACTAAATATTGTTACGGGTTTTGGAGAAGTAACACCACGCCAGGTTTTTTCTACAGTTACTATTGATTTACGTGGTTCCTACATTTATTATTAAAAATAAAAATTGTATATAGGAATTTCATTTTTTCCATACTTTTATTTTAAAACTTACATGTGGATTAGTTGGAGCTGGAAAAGCTTCAACATTAAGTATTTTGTAATAGCATGGTTCCGGATAACGCTGAAACATGTTACGTATCACTAAACGGCCAACGCCGAAATTGCGCAAATTAGATAGTACATCCCAAAGTGACTCGCCACGAAAATCTGTTTTTCGTCCAATAAGTTTAATAACTGTTTTTGACATGTTTTTATGTTAAGACAATAGAAATTTAATGTATTTATTTATGTTTATCAAAGATTTATTTTATTCCTTCTGCCATATATCGCAGAAGGCTGCCGCTTGAGTTTGACAGTTCGAACAGCTGACTTCGAAATAATTTCGAAAGTTATGTACGGGGTTGTTAACTTATATATGTGCATAAGAACCGTTTTAAGATAATATATAAAAATAAGTTTCTCAGGATATGTGCGAGTTCGAGTAAATTGATGGTAAATTGAGGGAAATAGTAAATTACTAAATTAAGATAAAAATTAGGTAAATTAGGTGTTACCATTGAGAAAATTTCATAAGATACTTAATAAATGAATAAATAAATTTGAAAACTTTTAACAAAACAAAATATATATGTGCAACAAATAAATAAATTAATATTTATATAAGTGCAGTGCAAAAAGTCCCTAGGAAATTTTAATTTACTTTACCTCACGGCTTTAATATGTTGCGACTGCAGCTAAAACTACTTACGCTAATAATATTAAGATGTGGTCGTTTCCATTGGCAAAAGCTGGTTTATGCATTGGAAATAGATTATTTGTTTACATATAACATATGACAAATATTTTAAATTTTGGTAATTTTTCTTGAGGGAAATTTAATTTTAAGGGGTGCATTCGACATTATTCGCCAAAAATCAATAATAATAACATATAAAAAATTTTATTTATAATGAACCCATTTATATGAAAGCACTTTGTATAGTAAATTAACCTTATATAGCGGTATTAATCAGCAAAATTGCCCAAATGATATTAGTGGAAACATGGTATTAGGCCATTTCAAGTACGAAAAATGATTAAATATTGATATGTTTTTAGAAATTGAATTCTCTTATATTGTAGCGCCCGCATTACTAATTCCCTGTGTTATTGTTTGAGTTCTGTACTTGTTTCAAATTTGTCTATCTTATACCTTATTTTTTACTTAAAATCTATTAATATTTTGGGTGGTAGAGGGTGATGTCAAATTCCCATGACATATATGATTTTCTTTTGTAGAATCCCACTTCATATTATTTAACTATATCTGCTATATATGGTTACTGGAATCTTAAGTCACTATTTTTTTATAGCCAAAGAAAATGTCTTCAAAAACGGACTAAAAATGGCCTGCTTGAAATATTTTAGCTTTTTTAAGATGTTGCAAATCCAGGACTTTTACAATTATTCCATTATAAAATTAACTAATTAAACCTTGTGGTTAAATAAACAGAAATAAGGATTTAAATTTCACTGACACCAGTTTGGATAATTTAAATTGAAAAGTATGATTTCTTTTCTCAAATCAAGCAAGTATAACATTTTTTCCAAATAGATTATTATATCTCATATGTTAAAAATAAATAAAAATATATATATATTATATAAATAATTTATTTAAATATTTCATAATCATAACATATAAATAATTAAAAATTAAAGAAAAAAACAAAAAACATTCACAAAAAACACAAAATTTTCGAGTGGGCTACAAACTTTTAACAAACTCAGTGTCAATCAATCTTAAGATCGCAATTATCACGATACGAAGATTAATACTGAGTGTAAATGGCTAACAATGGATAACAACAGATGAGGGGATTTAACAAAAAAAAAAAAACAAAACAAAAAAGAATAGCAATAATTATAAATAAATACAATTGTAAAAAGCACTCTAGCTTAAAACACTAATAAATAAATAATTATAGTACAAAAATTAATGGCTTAATTAAAGTGAAATTGGAACACATCACGTTGAGAACAAATTTTACTTTTGATAGTGGATCACTTGTAGTATTGAGTGATTTGATGAATCCAGTCCAAGTAGTGAGCTACACGCACATATACACCAGGTACATTAACTTGACCACAGCCAATACCCCAAGAAACTACACCAACAACGTTCCAAATACCACCTCGTTCACATACCAAAGGACCACCACCGTCACCTTTGCAGGCATCCTTGCCTTCTTCACCACCGGCACAAAGGAATCCAGGATTAAGTTTGTAACCAAAACCGAGACGTGTTTGACGCAATTGTGTTTCGCATTGGTGATGTGAGAGTATTGGCACATCAACTTCCTTCAAAATATTTTGATATTTGCCATGATCACCAAAGGCATCTTTACCCCAGCCAGTGGTCCAGCAACGTGCACCAGTAAAATCAGAGAATTTGTCAGGTAAACAAGCGGGACTAATATGTGGATTTTTCGTAAAGTCAACTGGATGATCAAGTTTAAGTACGGCCAAGTCATTATCTAAGGTACCGGCGTAGTATTCTGGATGAATGTGCACAGACACTACATCGCGTTCAATGTATGGGAAGAATTCAACATCATGGTTAACATCCCATTCACCAAGACGTGCACGTAAATCAAAACCGTTTTGTCTACAATTTAACAAGGGAACCCATGAATAATGCTACGGTTATTACAAATATGTATTAACTTACGATTTAATGCAATGTGCAGCGGTGATAACGTGTTGAGCGTCAATCAATGTACCACCACAGGCATAAATTGATTCTTTAGGATCTTTTTTCAAAATGGCAACATGCCAAGGATATTCGCCGAATTCACTATCGCCATCTACATAAACTGGTGTTTTGATACGTCCGGTAATGCCAGCAGCATTACGTACACCACAGCGACCCAATTGCTGTTGTTGTGGTGGACGGAAAGGACGACGACAACACACTTCATTAACACGGCAAGTCTTCTCAACTGGACGGTTACCATAATAAGCGCGCTGTAAGATTTATAAATTTAGTAATGGTTCTATTTCCTAATAGTAGAAAAATGTTGAAAATTTAAATAAAAACCTATGAGTACCCAAAATGCAATTGACTTATCAATATTTTTAATAGTTTAGAAACATTGTTGTCGCGCATTTGACTATGAGTATCAGACATAAGTTTTACCTGATCTGCTTTCACTGCTCGTGACAACACACTATCTCTTAACTCTGCTGCATCCTCATGTTCTTCAATACTTCTTCTACGACGATCTTTAGGGAATGATATATACTCACTTCCTTCCGCATCGCCAGGTGCTTGCGTCGTTACTTGGTGATAAGTATTAAGTAAACGACCTCTACGATTATAATTTGATGCATATGAATCTTGATCTTCATAACTTGATTCGCTTATGTTACTACTTTTTCCGTACAAATTGCCAAAGCCACTACCATAGTAGCCGCCGTTGTAGTCAGATCCTGACGGGTAACCGTAATAACTATTGGGTAAATAGTTATTACCACCATAGTAATTACCACCATAATTAGCACCACCATAGTAATTACCACCATAGTTACCACTACCATAGTTGGGGCCACCGTAGTTACTACTACCATAATTGGAGCCCCCATAGTTTCCACTACCATAGTTTCCACTACCATAGTTGTTACCACCATAGTTACTACCACCATGGTTATTATCTCCATTGTTATTGCCTCCAGAGCTGCTGTCTGTTGTGGTGGTACTACTGTCCGTTGAGTAGCCATAACCATTGCCAGTTGGTTCGGTAGTAGTTGTAGTAGTAGTTGAGGTAGTAAATGGGTTTATGTGTTGAGAAAAACTCTCATATTGCAGATGACTTTCATATTGCACAGGATCTGGTGGTGGATTTGGTGTATTGTATGGTGTATATCCATATACAGGTTTACTTGGGACTTCAATTATTTGAGGACCAGTAGATGGATAACGAGAAATTGGTCCCGGGCCACTTGAAATATGTGGTCCATTGTAATCATCATAACCAGAAAAATGATCGTGGTGGTGATAGTGACTATTATGTACGATTGGTGGTTTAGGTTTGAAGTAGTTTCCCACTTTTTGTAAAATGTTGCCGTTTGGTGTGACATGAAAGTTAACCAGTGGTTTAACTACCTTGTCGCCGAATTCAGTTTTGCTTACTTGTAGTGATAGAAGTGGATTAACATTTAATAACCCTAAATTCACACCATTTACACCGATGGCACCAAAGTGTGGATTTTTTGCAGGATAATAGCCACCTATTGCATTAGCCGGATAACCATATCCAGTTGGATAAGGCAAACCGAAGGATACACCATAGGTTGGTAAAATTTTACGTTTTATCAGTTCAAAGGCTTGCAGTGGAGGTAGACCCTGACGCTATCAAAAGAAAATTTCGCTGTCAACAGAGTATAAAACTTATCATTTGACATGTAGAAAATAGTGTTTAGTTTGTCTGTAGGTTTGGCTTTGGGGACCAAATATGTTGACATGCTAGTAGGCGTGCGATTGAGCTATATATTGCAGTGCAGTTAGTTGTTTTTTAGTTTGGATTAGTTACGTCCCGGAGCGTTACATATTTCCCATTCGCTACCGCGCATAATCTAACCAAACAAACTAAAACTGCAAATGTGCTAAAGAATCGAGTACGCGAGTATGCAAGTGGGTTGTATGGCGGTTGGCGACGTGGGCATAGCTTCGAACTAGTTTCGTGTGGAATAGGCAGAGTTCTTGTGAGTGTGTGCATGTCACGGTATTTGTGATAATAGGCTAACAATTAGTTTGTATGAATTATTTTTTAAGAAATTAGACGTTTTATGGGAATATGTTAGGTCTTAAAAAACAGATTCTATGTTACTTACCCCTTGTGCATCCAAAGCTAAGTCGGAGTTTTCATCTGATTGCTTGTTATCAGAATCAGTTTGACGTTTATTACGGTTCTTATTTTCATCTTTTTTGTCTTCTTTAGTTGCGGTGTCATCTTTGCTTGTGGGATTTGCGTTAGTTGTAATATTTGCGGCGGCTTCATCGCTTAATGCTTCAATATCTTTGCCGAGGTTGCGTGGATCGATTGGTAAAATCAAATCTTCTTTGCGTCCAATACGGTCAGCTGCAGGGCACTGGTCAAATGGTACACACTGACAGTCGACTATTTGTTGGCGTGCAGTATCATATCCACCTTGGTATTGTGAAGCATCACCGTAGCCTGTACTAATGCCATTGAAATTGCCTGCTCCAGTAAGGCCGCCAATATTCTGTAACTCTTTTTTGAAGTAGTTGGGATTTTGACTGTGGTAACTTCCACTGGTTTGGCTAAAACCGGTAGTAGGAGGTGCTGGCTGATATAGATCAGTGGGGCTAGTAAAGCTGCCTAAGCCGGCAGAAGGCTTGTAAATTTCACCATTTGGTTTGTGTATACTGTTAAAGCCATTGCTACCCTGAGTGAATAAATCACCTTGAGATGCACCATTAAAACCTGCTTGGAATGCTGAAGATTGTGAAAAACCACCTTGTGCTTGTGGTGTGTAAGTTGCAGAAGATTGT